AATGTTCTGTAGTTCCTACTGTGTAGACTTCTTTCCAATTTTGTACTTGCAACCACAGATCCCTGACTAAAAAGGGAAAGGGATTTGCTTGATTTAATAATCAAGTCTCGCTTTTAACATAACATGCGTTGCTATCATTGTTCTTAATTTCGAGCAGTCCTCGAAGGACTAAAAAGTTATTGCTGGTCTTACCTCAGACTGATGATCTCTTGTATTATAAATACTATCAATCAGGCAAACCCGAAGCTTTTTTTGTTTTCTATTTGTTCTTTGTTTATAAGTATCACGCTGGAATTTTTTCACTTTTTGTTTGACAATGTATTATTTCTAATCATTAAAAATGGCACCAACTGAGGTTGTGTTCTTATGCTGATGGTTAACAGACTTTGGTAGTTCTGACCAAAGTACGATTTTTCTGTTCTGCTGATTTGCTGCGTTAATCCCAGGCCTGTCCCGATGGTACCTCCCTCTCAAAGCACCGGCTTGGGCACGGCTGCATCACTGCAGGGGACCCTCAACCAAGAAGCAAAACAAGCAGAGCTGTGCCAGAGCTGCTGGTAAATACGTGAAACAAAGAGTTTGTGCCACGTAGTCGAAGGGTTAGAACTTCATCGGTGTTAGGGGAGCGCTGCGTTTTTCTAGGCAGGTGTTGACTTGCCTTCTGTTACTGTACGGAATGACTGTGATGCTCTTGTAAAGGCTCCAAAAGCAAAATCACCCGCTGCCTTCCAACCCTGCTTAAGTTAGTGGTTTCCTTTAGAGCTCTTCATTTATTGCTAAAACTGTCTGCCTACGGAAGCAGAGGCTTTTTACAAAATCCTGGCGTTTGTACCAAAACCAAATGCGCCGGACCTGAAGATCCTCCTTAAACCCAAAGACCATTTTTGTTTTTTCCATTAAAAAACAACGCTGAAATAAAAAGTACCTAACTTGCATTGGTTTGACAAGAAGAGGGCGGCTAACATGATTGTACCTTTTCCTCTAGCGTGTATTTATGGTATCGTAGCAATGCTAATGTGAATTCACTGCTGCTTAATTAAGCAGATGTAAACAGTTGCATGGGATATTAAACTCTGATTTGTATCCACGTACCAATTATCCTTTTTTTGCTCCAACCCGAGCTAGAACGGTATTGTACCAAATTAACACAGAGACTCAATCCTTAATAATTTGCAACTATGTTACAGTCTAGCGAGTAAACTGTGGACTTGGCAACAGATACAAACCATGTATTTTCAGGATTTTTAGCTATAACACACAAAGTAGCTACATTACTTTGCAGTAAATCACAGTAAATCCTGTGTGTGTTGGCAACTGAGTATTTTTTTTAACCCGTTCCCCTCATCTTTTAGCATTTCATCAAATTGAATAGAAACCCATACAGAGGGGCCACAGTTTCTCGCCACCACGTTAAAGTACTCTGTTTTGTAGAAAATGTTTTTAAAATCAACAGAAGTTATTTTCAAAAGCGCGGAGGGCAGCAAACTGCTCGTTAGCTCGTTACGGAATTGTACTCTCTGGTTTTTGGTACCACCTTTGGCCCAAGATTCACCACTGACACCTTTCCACCCAGCGTAGCCTGGGGCGTTGCCAGCCGTTGGAATCGCTGCGGCCAGCCTGTGGGAGCAAGAGCGCACCAGTAAGTCACCAGGCTTTCCCGATGCTTCCTGACAGGCGGGAATGCCAGGCTATCCTGACTGCTTCAGCCTAGGCTACCCGCCCAAGAGGGAACAGCTCGGCAATCTGTGAGACCGTGTGCTGGATGAGAGCGAAGCGCTCCTTACACCGATTGCTACCTGCAAACAACTCCTCTGTTTGCCGTGGCAGACGGGGTGCTCCCGGCGTACAGCCACGAATGACCCCTCCCCAAGTCTGAGCGGTTTCCTCTGGAATTTCCTTTGGGTAAAAGATGTGCGTAAATGTATGGATTAATGCTCCTCTGTAATCCTACCAGCGCTATACAGGAAAAAACAAAGGTGACAACCTAGAAAAACCCAAGCAAATTTGAAAAGTAAGAACCCTGAAAACCATCTCAAGTTTCACTCCAGTAATGACACGTTAGATGTTTAGGTACTGGCAGGATAAAGTGCGTGTGACTGTAGATTGCCTGGGCCTACGGCAGGCTGTTTGGCGCTGTTGGATGGGGTTTGTTACTGTTTTTCTTCTCAAGGTAGAGACTGTGCACGCCTGCTAGCCTGTCAAGGAGACTCCCTTGCAGCAGGTAAAATCATGCCAGCACAGGTAAGGCTACTGATCGCTTCTGGCGAGCTTCTGGGGGGGGTCTGTCATCAGTCCCGTGGTTGGATGATGACTTACTAACCAGCAGCAGAGCTTGAATGCTACGTATGATGGCTTTAAGCCAATTTAACCTCTGCTTGCTGTATCATAGGGCATTCAGTTTCTGGCAGGAATCACATCGTTAAGAAAACATCACTACAAACCAATCTTTTTTTTCCATGCAACTATGTAATCCCATACATAGGATGTTCATTAGGGGAGCTTTTCTTCCCCCAAATGTTTCTGGTGGTACATAAACAAATGTTCCATTTTACATCCCAAGGCAACAATGGGATAAGCAAACCACCATATTATTAATTTACCTTGTTTACCCATAAATATCTGAATGCAAATCCAGCTGACCTACATTTAAGCCAGGACAATACTATGTTACTCTGATCCCTGTGAAGGAGAATTATTTTGGGCTTAGGTTTTTATTTGGAGTTTCTCACGCATGCAGTCTTTGGTTTTTTTACCCCCATACCGCCTTTGTATTAGTGTGTTTTAGAAGTGCTCTCCTCTTTTGCCTTATTTGTTTCCCCAGAAGCCAGTCACCATCACATGGTCTTGCCTCGATGGATGGTCGACTCTGTAAGTAGAAAACAGAAATCAGAAGCATTTTTCAATGGAAAAGAGACACCGATTTACATTTATCTTACGATAACAAACAAGTATAAGGTACAGAAGCTATTTTAGATACACGTTCTCAATTTATGCATATGCATGTGCATATCTATATATCTATAAATGGCTCAGGTCTGGTGGTTGTTTGTCTTCAAAAAACAGTTTTCTAAGCTTTATTTTCCCTCTCCTTTTCTGTAGATAGTGACAACATTAGGTGGAACATGCAGGTGTTTATATGGGAACATGAGTTTTCTGAAGCACAGTAAGCTGAGTGGGGCTAAAAGTAAGGTCAGCAATCACTAAAACGAATCACAGGTAAAAACATTCATTCTCCAGAGATCTTGTTGTTGCCATTGTTTTATTCTCCTAGAACATGAGTGCAGAAAATAGAATATCTACTCAGTGAATTCCTATAGTATAGCTCTAAAATAATCTCACCGCTGCCTCTATTTTTAATAAAGTCTTGGAGAAAACAAATCCCAAACCACAATGCTCCATCTTGAGCGAGAGAGTTCTGCATATTGTGACCTGTCAGTGCTGCAGGCTGCAGTCTCTTCTGTGCTTCTTGCCTCAGAAGCGACCTTTTGGCTCCTGAAAAGCGCTAACCCTCCAGCTGCATTAATGCTACTTATCCTTCGCATTAAGAGTGCCTATAATATCTGTATCCTTTAATAATACAATATCATCCTTAAATGCCTAGATAATATTAATGCTAGAGTTGGTGACATTTCTGTAATTCAGATAGCAAAATTTTGTATTGAAGGTTGTTTAGTTAAAAGTCCAGAAAGGAAAGAAGCAGTTTCTCTGTCAATCAGGGACCACGCATCTGGCAGCCCTGCTTCTGACAGGAAGAGAGCCGAGTTAAACTTGGGAACCAGCGCAAGCAGAGCCCTAAGCAATCCTCCTGGGAGTAAGGAAAGGCCATGTCCTTGTGCCCCTCAAAGGCATTTCGAAATGAGGTGACTGCGGTGAGACTTGCACGCAACAGAAGTTGTTAAACCTTGAGAGTAGTGCCCCAAATTACACTTAAACCAAACATAAAGGTATATTTGCAAAAATAGGAAGCAGGCTGATCTACTGAGGTTGCTAGAGCAACGAGTCAGACATGGTTTTACATGCGGAACATGCTTCTCAAACATATCACGTCTCACTGCATTTAAAAGCCTGCAGACACTGTCCTGATGCCACTGCCGTGCTCCACACCTCCAGCTTAACCACTTACTGCATTTTTTAAAATTTATTTGTCCTGCACCTCTGTTGATTGTTGTCTTCCTCACCTACCAACCCACATCTGGAGACATACACGAAGCCTTCAGTAGTTCATAAACTCTTTGCATAAAGCTCAATGGGTAGAAAGCACCCACATCTCGGTCCCCCAATAGCAAACATACGAACACATCTTAAAAAAAATTAGAAAACCACCACCCCCCCAATGAGAAAATGAAAGCAAACTAAATGCTCATCATAAAAAAATTCAATCTGTCATCATTAAAGACTGCCTCTGTTGCTTCATTAAGTATTTTCTCGTTTACCAGGAGAGCAAACGGGAAAAGCAAAATGTTTTTTTCTTTTTTTCCATCTTTTCTATTTTCTTTCAGATATTGAAACAAGCACGTGACTCAGGAAGAGCACACCAACAGGAAATGTCTTGAGAGCTGCTCCTAAACAACGGTTTGGATGTCCCCAGAAGTCCTGTTCTCTCACGTTGAAACTGTAAGTTTTCAGCCACAGAAAACCTTTGTCCATACCTAAATTAGCCATAACCACATCGATGCAAACTTCCAGGACTTTGCCAGTCAAAATTCCTTTGTTTAAAACTATTTTAAGCAGCTTGTAAGAAGGTGGCCATGAGTTGGATGCCGCACAGCTGTACAGCAGTCTTAGCTGAAGCCCAGCCAGCGCAGCGCAATTCTAAGCCTAGAGTATGACAGCCGCTCTCTTAACACTGCACACGGGGTACCAGCATGGTTAATTTAGGATGTAATGAGGCCATCATCATTACATACACACAACCAGCCGAGCCAAGCACCGTCATTCTCACATTAGGGAAGCCAGGGTGCCAGATCCCTGTGCATGCTGGCTGGGATTGGTCCTGTGGGATGCGAGTCCCAGCCTCCATCCTGGCTATAGCTGCAGTTCAGGCTGTCCTGAAAAACCTCGCAAATGTTTGCTGGCACCATTCCACGGCAGTGGTTCAAGAGGAAATGGAGGTGACACGGCAGACCAAAAACTACTGGCCAGCAGCAGGACTGCAGGAAAGGAAGCGCTATGTCTGCCAATGGGACCCATCCGCACAACTAGCATGTTGTCGCTGCGCAAGTCTCAACTGGAGTTTGACCAGTGAAACTTGGTGTGATGTATGAAATTCACAGGGGCTGGCCTCCAGCTCAGCAGTGGTCACAAGAGGAATCGTGCGACCATCTGGCAGGCTGAATTTTGCCATAGCTTGTGGGATTCTGGATAAGGCCCAGAGCATTACAAAAGTCCTAAACTGGGGTGGGGGGGGAGGGCAGGGAATGTCTTCCAGATTCAATTCAACACATCTCCCATCTGCCTCATGGTCACTAAATGCAGCAGAGTGTGCAGGCAGGTCACACAGGCACTGCAACACCTGCTGTCACACAGCTCCCCAGGAGGCTTTAAACATGAGCAACATGAAGGGTCTAATAGAGACCACCTGATCTGTACGACAGAACAGGGAAGACAAGGGTGGAAATTACATCCAAGTGATGATTTAGCTCGATACAGATGTCACTCTAGTTTAAAAAAAAAAAAAACAAAAAAACAAAAAGACCCCACATACCAAAAAAACCCCTACAAATATACACTCAGTCACAAACAATTGCTGTTGATGACAGCAAATGGAGACTGAAGCAGAGGTACTCCAGAGAACAAAATACCCTTTTGTATCTGCGCTGCCTACTGACGTGTTAAAGCTCCTTCCGCTCCTTTCTAGCTGTTCCTCCAAGGAAATCATTCATGTTAGAAAACAAATAGCCAGATGAACAAATGGCACGCAGCAGGGAACTGAACATCAATAGCCTGTATCGGTGGAGAAACCAAGCCATTTAAACAAAGAACAGGAGAACAACAGTACATGGCTCCTGATAAACGACTGTGTAATTCGGGAAAGACGGTTCCATCCCGGAGAGCTCTCGAGAGTCTGTACTGCTAGCAGCAATCAATGAAGGATAGTGCTGAAATTTCACGATTGCATATAGAGAACTGCAGCAGAATGCTAAATTCAATGTATGCCGCATGCAAGACATGGATTAATCATCTGAATAAAAATAACACAGTTAAAATGCCTGTTGTAATACTGCTGTCTTCCTGAGAACGTTAGTATGACTTGCGTAAGTGTATTTTTAATTACTACTTTAAATACACTTTGGATTTTTTACTTGCAAATGTATTTTCAGGCACAGACTCCAACAGCAAGTGATTTTTCCATTGCCAAGTGTCCCCTCAAAGACAGTTGTCCAGTCAATGACAATGAGGACAAACACCACGACTGTAAATTCATCCCGTTTTCATTTTCCCCTGATGGTTCATTTTCCACATTTCGACACACTGGCCTCCCATGCATCGCAGCTCTACTGAGGCAACAGAGCAGTACTCTCTGCCCCCACACTCATCACAGGCTGCGATTAATCATCCTACTGGTCAGACTCTGGGGTCTCACAGCAAAGCGTGCTTGCTCTGTCGTACAGAAATTATTCTCTATTCAGTCCCAGGTATTGCATCCTGTAACTGATGCAAAGTTTCCATGCAGATTAAATTGCCAGCAGTGTTCACCTCAACCTTTGCCTTCTTTTTAGCAGACTGAGTTTGAGCCCTCTGGTAAAAAAAGGCCACTATTTACATTTTTCCGAAATTTAAGTATTTCCATAGTTGAACAGCTTTTGCCTTAATGGCCTTTGTGTTTTAGTTCAGTTAGCATATGTAAAGAAAGTGTTTCAGAATTCTTATTCGGCATCATCTTCTCATCTTAGTTTAGGCCTTTGTGTGTTACCTGTTATCTACATGACACCTAAGGAAAAAGACAGCTCCATATGAAGCTAAAGGAAATGTTTCAAGTGTCATATTTAAAGCATGTCTCAGAAAAGATGATTTGCTCTTTGCTTTCTTGTTGAAGTACCATTTCGCCATTGGTGTGACCATCCCGTATGCCAAGTCCTCTGCCCAAAGTCAATTGTATCATAGAGTCACAGAAATGCTGACCCGGAGGGACAGCTGGAGGTGACCACCCTTCAGCCTGCTCTTCCCCAAACGAAACATCCAGCTCCCTCCACGACTACGACTACTCATGGAATAGGTGATCTAGGTCCCCTACCATCACGACAGCTTGGACTCTGTGCTTCAGGCTAATTGCTTTCTCCCTTTTGTCTCTAGTTCCAGTTATGTGGTGATGTTACCATGGATACCCTGCATTTATAGCTTACTTCAGTTGCAAGATGTAATTTGTACATTTTAATTTACTCAGAACCAAAACCATTCTACAATAGGTGAAGAAACTAAGGAGGAAAACTGAGCATAGGTCATGTTTCACTTTAAAAAGGCCAGCCGTTTCCAGTTTCTCTCATACTTGCAGTAAAGCCATTAATCATCATAAACTCATTTTGTCTAAAAGCAGAGGTAATACATTTTTCCATGTAAATCACTTCATTGCCATGACAGAATGATGTCAGAGAATCTAAATAGGTGATCTAATAAATTCTCCTTTTGGAACATTGTTCAGCATTGAAGGTTACTGGGAGGGCAGCCAGGGCATGCTTGATGTCAGCTGCTGGTAAGAAAAATTTTGTATTAATTTTCATAAAATAGCCCTAAATACTATATTGACACAGACACACTTTTAGGGACTGAGAAAATATATGTGTAACTTAATACTGTAAGAACCCAAGACCTTTCTAGAATAAAAATCCAGCTCCAGCTAATAGTAAGATTTTTCTGAAATTTGTAAAAGACTATTAAAATTAACTTTGCAAGTTGTAAAATTTCATTCCTCTTTTTAAAGACAATTTTTGAGCAATCATTCAGCATTTCATGTTCACTGTTTGTACATGTACATATAGTTGAGCGCACAAACTCTTTTAGGTGAAATGAGCTTTGCATCTAAGAAATCTCAAACAATGAAACAGCAGTACAGGAGAGAAACAGAATTTTATTTCTCCCCCAAAAAGCAACCAACCTTGCCTGAATTGCAGTCTATACCTTAACCAAGATGCAGTTATTTACTGAAATCCTACGGCAGCCTGGTAGAACCAATATATATATGGCATCACGGAAAATGGAAGGACTGTGACAAAACCTAGACGTCAAAACTGTTACTCCCTGTTTCTTTATATAAGATCTCTCCAAGTCAAGCTTTGGAAGAAATCACTGACTTTTGGGGTTGATTCGAACTAATTTTTTTCTATTTGCTCTTTTTTTCCTTTGGGAAAAACAGATCAAAAACTGTTTCACATAGCTTTAATCCCTACTCCTTACTGCAGCAGTGGGCATACTCACAGCCCTGCTGGGTAAGGCACAGCAATTCCCTTTCCACCCGGTTGATCTAATCAGAGGTGTGCTACAGCCCACACAGACCAGCTGCAATGAAAGCAGCAAGTCCCCTTTAAAACAGATATTCCATATGCAGATAAAACGGAAAGCTGGATATCCCCTCAGCATTTATCCAGCTCTTAAAATGGGTCTCAAAGCCTCTAATGAGCACCATGGCTGCAGGGCTCTGTAGCTCTATCAGCTTCTTTAAAGCCAGCTTTTTGCACATATGACTTTCACATCTTCACTTACAAATTAGACACCCCAAAGAAACAAATACGGTCTTGCAGAACACCTAGTCTGGGCAAAAGAGAACTAACACTTAAAAATATGGATTGGTTCACCATTTTCATGGTCAAATCATATTTCAACACCTGACACCAAAGGAGAAGCAATTTTGTCAGGGCAGTTTGTATCTGTAAAACAGTTATAGGTTTGATATTTAATACAAAGGCTTTAATTGGCCATTTCATCCTGAGGCTCGGTACACAGCGTGTGAGTCGGCATGACCTGATCTAACAGCTCACTGCTGTGGGAATAGGGCTGGTCCCCTTTTCCTCACTTGAGAGCTGCGCTCCGACAGCTGAGCTGCCAGATGAGCTCTGGTGCGCATCTGACCACTGCCATCACTGCGGCAGTGTGATCCCAACCTGACAAAAAACTTTCTGTACAAAGAGAAACCTGGCAGGAACTGGGTCCTGCCAAGGGAAGGGTCCCCTGGGTATCAGAGCAACCTCCAAGGAAGCGAGGCAGGAGGGCAGGGTGGGGAGACCTCCTGTTTTCAGAGCTGTCTGGCCAGCCCAGCTGCCCATGCAAGTGCAGCCTCAGCTCTTCTACCTTGCTAATTTTCAAACTTACCCGATAACTGTCAGTTTCCTTCTCTGTAACAAAAATAACATTTAAAAAAAATCTATTTAAAGATTTGAATAGATTCTTAAAGCAATTTGATTCATTGCAACAGGCCAGTTTCTTGGTGAATTCAATCTAATCCCTTCACCAGTGATGTTTATTCATTTGTATTCAGCTTGATTAGCTTACCAATTTTAAATTCTGCTAGATGTGCTCTGAAATATATTTTTGGGTTAAGACATATCATTTAGGTGTTCTTGCACCAGGAAAACCTTAGTACATAGTACTAAGAAAAAAACCAAACCAATGCATCCATCACCAGTAAAGCATCCTCCCAAATACACTCAGAAAACAAAGAGAAATCTTTCTTTTTCCATAAGTCTGCATACTGTCTGTGAACCCTTCCGCCTTTCACATGACACTTCAAAATAAAAACCAACCACCTCAGGGACAATATATCTTTCCTTCTACTTCTGTTCTTATCGTCAGTAAAAAAAGAGATTGTATTTCTGTAGTTGTATCTCTGTGTGAGCCCACTAATCATGACAGAAAAGCAAAATCAGATAAAATAAGTCTGCTTTGTTCTGACAGGGGTGGCACGGTCTCTTTCCTTCTGATGAGCTTTGGTAAGCTTCATGAATTTGTCAATACTGATATAGGAAAAGGGAAAGGAAATAGATTAATGGGCAATATCAAATGCCTTGGATTATCTATAGCTGCATATTGGTTCAATGGCATCTTGGAGGATGCCACCTTAAATGAGAACCACCCTTGGTAGCAATCAGTCAGGATCTGGGTGGTATAACTCCCCAGAACAGAGTCTATACCGCTGACTCTCAAGAGACACAACACGGAATCAGATCCAAAACCATTGACTCAAACAAGTATGAATTCCTCTCACTAAAACATGTTAAACTCAAAGCATTGTGTTCTCGAGTGCTGTTTCC